GCTGCCCGCCGCTCCGTGCCCTGCCCGCTGGTCAGCACTCTCTGGTGTCCAGCTGGACTCTCAGCCCCAGCCAGGTCACTTGCTGCGGCCTAATCACATCAGCAGAGATCAGAAAGCTGCGAAGGGGCCCAGGAATGGTTCTGGGGGCAGCTCCTGCCCTGCCCCCTGCCCTTCCCGTCCTGGCTGTCCAGGGCTGGGCCGGAGGGCCCCCCCAGAAAGCCCCACTCCTCCCCCAGTCCTCGCCTCTGTAGGCACCTCCCCTCCCTGCCAGCCAGGTGACCAGAGCAGCCCTGGACCCTGAGCAGAGATGCCGTTCCCGGAGAACAGTCTCTCCTGGGGGGCTTTTCCGGGTAGGAGATGGCACCCAGCACCCCTGAAACCCGGGAGGCCTTCCCTTCCTGCGCCGGCCTTGCTCACATCCCCAGGCACCGGTGGGGGAGGTCAGGGTGCAGCGGCCGAGCCCCACAGCTCCATCCTCTGTGCCTCAGCCCCTGCCAGGCGGCTGGAGGCCACTTGGCTGTGGGGTTGCTCCCTGCGCCCCCAGCATGGGGCCCCCTGAGCCCTCCCCGCACAGTCCCGGGCTCTGCTGGCCTCCGCCCAGGCCTCACAGTGCCACAGCTGGCCCCAATGTGGTTACCGGCCTCGAGGGGCCACTGCTCCCAGCCCCTGGAGGCGGCAGCCGGCAGGGGCCGGGCTGGGCCACGGGAGCAGCTGGCTGCGGGGGTCCTCTCTGTGCGCCCCCAGCGCGGCCCTTTGTTTCTCTGCGGGCCAGGGCTCTGCTGGCCGCTGGCCACGCCCCTGGGGGCCTTCCCGCTGCGGCTCAGACTCCCCAAGAAGGGAAAGGAGCTGCTTGGCTGGCACAAGGAAGCCGGTGAGCAGAACCTGCTTCCTCCCGGCCCGCTGCGCGCAGAGTGCGGTGGGGGCGTGCGGTGGGGGCGTGCGCTGCAGGGCCGACGCCAGAAACGACCAAACGGCCTGGTCTCCGCCCGGGGACCGAGGGCGCCCAGAGACGCGGGCGGGGTGCGGGGGTGCACAGGGCCGCGCTGCCCAGGGCACGAGGTCACAGCAGCCTTCGGCCTGCGTCTCAGTCTCAGCTTCTCCGCCTGTGCGGGAACGGC